CAGCCCCTCACTGGGGGATTCTAGGCAGGGGCTCTACCACTGAGCCACACCCCCAGCCCCTCACTGGGGGATTCTAGGCAGGAGCTCTACAGATAAACTATCTCCAGTTGTCTTTTTTATTTTCTATTCTGAGACAGGGTCTCACTAACTAGCACAAGTCTACTCTGTGGCCCAAACAGATCTTGAATTTGCAATCTTCTTTCCTCAGTCTCTCAAACAGCTAGAATGACCTGTCTGGGCATCAATCAAGCTCACTCTTTTGATTTCGTTCTACTTGGAAGAGGCGATAGGGAGAGGGAGGGACCGACACATGTAGCCTACAGTTTTCCTAAGCTCCACTGGCACTGGCCCCTGGGCATTGGGTAAAACCGGCTTGAAATGGAACCTGTGTATGAGAGTGTGATGCTGACACTGTTTTACTGTGACATGTGTTAGACTTGCGTCACTGAGATGAATAAGTGGGCACTGTATCTCAAGCCACCACAGAGCTGAGCAAGGTGACGAGTTCCACCTGGGCTTCAAACAACTTACGACAGACCTAAAGATGGACGCCAAGGCAGTGAGATTAATTTGTCATTGGTATTAAACAACTCACGACAGGCGTGCAGAGGACCTAGAGAAAGGGAACTCAGAGGTGACAGGCTGCCATGCCATCCTGTTGAAGGTGGAGTTCTGAAGGCTGAGAGCATGGGCTCTGGCAGCCCTGGCAGGGCTCAGGCTGGCTAGTTCATATTGCTGTTGGGGCCCAGGGCTGTGGCGGGCGCCGTCAGGCCAGGGTACCTGCCAACAGCAGCCTCCAGGTGTGGGCACACTTCACTTGCTAGAGTCAGGTGCACTGACCTTCCTTTCTTTCTTAACATTTACTTATCAAGGCGGGGTGGTGGTGGCACACACCTTTAATTCCAGCACTCGGGAGGCAGAGGCAGGTGGATCTCTGTGAGTTCAAGGTCAGCCTGGGCTACAGAGTGAGTTCCAGGAAAGGCGCCAAAGCTACACAGAGAAACCCTGTCTTGAAACGCCCCCCCACAAAAAAGCTTATCACTATATGTGTGCATTTGTGTGTACCATACTGTGCATTTGGAGGTCGAAGAACAAGCTGTAGGGGTCAGTTCTCTCCTCCTACCATGGGATCCAGGGGATTAGACTGAGGTTGTCAGTAAGTTCCTTTACTAATTCTCTCAACTGCTTCCTGCCCCCTGCTTTTTAAGATACGGCCTGACTCTGTAGCTCAGACTGACTTATAACTCATGGCAATCCTCCTGCCTCAGACTCCCAGATACTGGAAGTACACCACGATGCCTTCCAGGGCAATTGCTTCTACTTCATCTGGTCTAAGACAAGCATAGACTTCCCTGCCTCAGGAAGCCCAGCAGCCTCTCACATCTGGGATGGCATTGGCAGATGTGGGCTGGGTGAAATACTTCCACCTTCCAGCCAAGCAAGGTCTAGAGCGGGTAAAGAGGTTGTTCAGGGTCGCATTGTGTGATGGACCAAACCCCGCAGTGAAGGAGTGCTCACAGCTGCCATTTCCTGATAGTTGGCTCTTCTTGTAGCGGTGACAGAGGACAGCCACACGTATCAGGGAACAAGGGCAGAGGTCTGCCCCCGTTAATTTGGAAAGTCGGGGCTCTGTGGAGTTTGCATTCTCGGCTCAGATCCACTGGTCAAAAAAACCTTCATAGATGGGAAAGCAGACCCCCAGGGAAGTTTGGTCACGGGCCCAAGGCCACACGCAGTTGGTAGGGTTGGGGTCTGAACAGAGGGGGCTGCCTGGCTCTAGGGCTGACATCCTTAAGCCACATTCTGTGCTCTGTAAGCCAGGTAGCATAGGTGGGACAGGAGAGAAGTGGGTGGCGTTTCCCGCAGTGGACACCAAGTTCTCCCTGCTGGCTGTGGTTAAATCTGCCTTCCACTGGCTGAGAGCAATGGATTGCAGAGGACTGGGTGGCATTTCTAGTGGTCATCTCACCAGCCCTCTTAGAGAAGAGCTCTCCACAGCTCATTTGGCCAAGGCAAACTCTGGGAACACGAGTCCCACGCTGGGCAGAGGGAATGCTCAAGGAGCCGGAACACGCTTCCCTGCTCTAAAGTCATTGCCTGACCCCTCCAGACAAGTCGAGCAACTCAGCAGGTCCCACCACAAACCCAAGAACACGGTCGATGAAAGCCACTCAGGTGTGCCTCTGCTGTCACTGCCCTGAGCACACCTGGCACCCTCTGCAACCATCCCCAGATGCTCTGACTGTGCCGGACATGGAGCTGACCCATCCTCAGGGCAGTCCATGCACAGCTGTGACCTATCCTCAGGGCAGTCCGTGCACAGCTGTGACCCAGGTGCAGGGCAGTCCATGCACAGCTGTGACCCATCCTCAGGGCAGTCCGTACACAGCTGTGACCCATCCTCAGGGCAGTCCGTGCACAGCTGTGACCCATCCTCAGGGCAGTCCCTGCACAGTTGTGACCCAGGTGCAGGGCAGTCCGTGCACAGCTGTGACCCAGGTGCAGGGCAGTCCCTGCACAGCTGTGACCCAGGTGCAGGGCAGTCCGTGCACAGCTGTGACCCAGGTGCAGGGCAGTCCCTGCACAGTTGTGACCCAGGTGCAGGGCAGTCCGTGCACAGCTGTGACCCAGGTGGAGGGCAGTCCCTGCACAGTTGTGACCCAGGTGCAGGGCAGTTCCTGCACAGCTGTGACCCAGGTGCAGGGCAGTCCCTGCACAGTTGTGACCCAGGTGCAGGGCAGTCCCTGCACAGCTGTGACCCAGGTGCAGGGCAGTCCGTGCACAGCTGTGACCCAGGTGCAGGGCAGTCCGTGCACAGCTGTGACCCAGGTGCAGGGCAGTCCGTGCACAGCTGTGACCCAGGTGCAGGGCAGTCCGTGCACAGCTGTGACCCATCCTCAGGGCAGTCTGTGCACAGCTGTGACCCAGGTGCAGGGCAGTCCGTGCACAGCTGTGACCCATCCTCAGGGCAGTCCGTGCACAGCTGTGACCCAGGTGCAGGGCAGTCCGTGCACAGCTGTGACCCAGGTGCAGGGCAGTCCGTGCACAGCTGTGACCCATCCTCAGGGCAGTCCGTGCACAGCTGTGACCCAGGTGCAGGGCAGTCCGTGCACAGCTGTGACCCAGGTGCAGGGCAGTCCGTGCACAGCTGTGACCCAGGTGCAGGGCAGTCCGTGCACAGCTGTGACCCAGGTGCAGGGCAGTCCGTGCACAGTTGTGACCCAGGTGCAGGGCAGTCCCTGCACAGTTGTGACCCAGGTGCAGGGCAGTCCGTGCACAGCTGTGACCCATCCTCAGGGCAGTCCCTGCACGGCTCTCAGGCTCCCTCTCTCTGGGATGAGGCATGGTTGTTGGCCTGTTTCTCTTGCCCTACTCTGGGCCAAACTCCCAGCCAGAGGATGCCCTCCCGCAATCTGGATGAGCAGAGGTTGGTTTGTTCATGGATCTGAGACAGGATCTAATCTCTATATAGCCAAGGCTGGCCTGGAATTTGTGACCCTGCTGCCTCTTCAGAGCTGGGACTACAGATGTGAGCACCTTGCCTGGCTTGAGACACCAATTTTGACAGGGAAGGGCTGTGTTACCTTAGGTAGAGAGGGCAGCAGGAGAGTTTCCGCACAGTTGGGGACATGGCATAAGGATCTGGAAGCGCTGTGTGAAAAGGCCTTAAGGTCATCTGGGAGTGACCCCAGTGTCCCTGAACTTCCTTCTTGACTCTTTTTGGGTGCTTAAGATGTCAAAGCGAGAACATGGTGGGTCCTCCAGAGAAAAATTCTGGATTTCCCCTGGGTCTTCCAGTAGGAATTGTGATCAACTGAGCTGACAATACAGGAGATGAAATTCTGTATATTGGGGGCCAGAGAGATGGCTCAGTGGTTAAGAGCACTGGCTGCTCTTCCAGAGGGTCCAGGTTCAATTCCCAGCACCCACCTGGCAGCTCACAACTGTCTGTAACTCCAGCTCCAGAAGATCCAACACGCTTACACAGAAAACATGTAGTCAAAACACCAATGAACATAAAATAAAAATAAATTATAAAAAATTCTGTCTATCGTGTTTGTGAAGTGAATCATGGGATGGCTCAACTGTCTTCCTGATATTGGTGTGGGTTCCATGGTGACGGCGGGTTAAGGAAGGCAAGGCAGAGCTAAGAAATTACCAGCAGAGGTAATTCTACGACAAAAGTCAGATCAAAGAAAAGATGGGGTGTCTCTTCATTTTGAAGCTGATGTCACAATAAAGGAGAGATGAAAGGTTCTGCCCTCACAGGTCCGGTTGACTGCATCCAATGGAGGCGGCATTGCATGATTCTCCAGAGCATTCATAAAATACATTCATTAGAAGGTCTTTGCTCAAAACAAACAAATCTGCATGGGGCCCAACCCCAGAGGGGGTCTGGGAACCAAGTGTCACAGTGTGCCTTGGGTCTTGGACCCCCCAAACCGTGAGCTCTGCCGTCTGTGAGCAGAGGATCTGAAGGCCAGGTGGGACCTCAGCTCTCACCAAGTCAGTGGGTTCATAGGGGCGAGGGAAGGACTGGGGAAGGGCAAACACAGCATGTGTCGGGACGGTCATATTATTCTTTTATTGATTGATTGACTTTACGAGACGAGGTTTCTGTGTAACAGCCCTGGCTATCCTGGACTTGCTCTGTACTCTAGGCTGGTCTCTCAAACTCACAGAGATCCACACTGCCCCCCGCCCCCAGTGCTGTGTTGGGATTAAAGGTGTGTCCAACCATGCCTGGCGCGCTCCCTCTTGCGCTCTCTCTGAGACAGGGTCCCACGTAGCCAGGCTGCTCTCAAACTGCTCACACAGCTGGGGCTGGCCTTGAACTCTTGATCCTCCTGTTTCCATCTCCTGATGGGATTTAGGCCAAGACACCACCTTTGGCAATTCCCCTTTTCAGCCTAAGCCAGACACTGTGTTGCCCCAGTGACAAGATCAGCTCCCTGTTCCTGGAGTGGGTGCCGGTCAGGGAAGAACAGAGCCAGAGCAGGCCCCTTTGACCACGTTTATTTGAACCCTCAGATCTGCCCCACAAAGAGCTCTCCAGCCCCATTCCATCCCCAGGGAAAGCTTCCTGGGGACCCTTCTGACTCCACCTGCCTGTCTCAATGGGCATCTGGGAAGGGCTGCTCATCCCAGGCTGGGGGTGGGATCTCTTGGTCACCCCCTGAGCAGCCCAGCCCCCCATTTGAGGGAGGGGCTGGCTTCAGACACCTCACATCTCTGGGCGGGAAGCCATGCTCCCTCTGCCAGGCCTGTCTCTCCTCCCCTGCCGGGGGAGGGCTGTATGTCCTTACTGTCCATAGGACAGGGGTTCCCTGCGTGCTCCCCGCTCAGCCTCAGGCCAGCAGGCGGCTGTACTCTGCCAGGGCTGAGGACTTCTTCACCCCGTCCCAGATCCGGGCAGCATAGTGGAACCTGTGGGTGGAAGGCTGAAGTCAGGGTTGGAAATTGAGGCTCAAGTAAGTTCCCGCACACAAAGGAGTTTCCCAGAGCCTATGGCGATGGTGCCAACCCGATGGAGTCCCCTGCTTCTACGCCTCTCCTGGGGAGCTGAGAGGCTGGACTTGGTGAGGAAAGGAAAGTCACTTTCCTGCAGTGCTGTGACGGACAAAACACTCAACAGCAGCCACACAGCCCAGGCCCCCCCTCAGGCCCTGGTGTGCCCCGTGGCAGGAACCTGATCTCTGCCCCGAGCGCTCTGTGAGGGCACGTGCTCTCAGCTCCTCCGTGGCCACAGCAGCTCTTAGAGAGGCGGCACAGGCCGACTACTCTGGCACTCAACTCTCCCAGCCAGAGCAGGCCAGGGGCCGAGCTCCTCTGAGAGCGCCACACAGGGGTCCTGTGATGGAGAGGCTGCAGGAGGGCAGGGCAGAGTGCCTGCAGGCCGAGAGGGGGACGGGGGAGACAGACAGTGACCGGAGAGCCAGCACCGCTCCTGTGAGGCTGGGCACTCGTGACCTTGAGAAAACCTCCAACCTAACTAGGGTCACTGGTCCTTCTCCCTCTTATTAGTGGAATTATACCATGAGTGCGAGACTTTGCTGGGTGACATTTCTTTGAGTCTAAATCTCTGTTTGTGAGATAAGGTCTCACTTTGTAGACCAGGCTGGTATGTAACTCACTATGTAGCTTAAGCTGCCCTTGAACTCACAATGATCCCCCCACCTCAGCCTCGTGTGCTGAGATTACAGGCATGGGTTTTCTTCCAGAAAAAACCCTGTACCAAGCCTGAGTGAGGCCCATGGCTAGTCACATCAAACTGCACCCTGCTGGCCCTGGGGAAGTGCTACAGATTAGCAGGGCCTGGAGAGCCAGGGCTTACTGAGGTTCCCTGCCAGAGCGTCCTCCAGCCTGCACTAAGTGGGATCCTCAAGTGTACCCCAAACAACGCTTTTTTTTTTTTTTTTTTTTTGGTTTTATGAGACAGGGTTTCTTTGTGTAGTTTTGGAGCCTGTCCTGGAACTCACTCTGTAGACCAGGCTGGCCTTGAACTCACAGAGATCCGCCTGCCTCTGCCTCCCGAGTGCTGGGCCACCGCCCGGCCCCAAACAACTCTTACCAGTTCTTCTCGGTGAGGATGGTGTGCGACAGCTGAGGCCGAGCCATGGACATCACCTGGCTGCGGAGCTTGCTAACCAAGGACTGGAAGCTGGGGTGGCCTCGGTACCCAGGCAGCAGGGAGAAGAGGGGGCTGGAACCAGGTCCTGGAACATGGGGTGGGCGCTTCAGAGCTCTGCCCCAGACTAGCTCTTCCCGAACCTCTCCAATGCTGAAACGTGGTCCTGAGAAAGGCCCCAGCCCCAGGGCAGGTGGTCTCCCCATGGCCCGGATGTCCCCAAGGTGTACCTGCTCGAGGTGGGTTCTCGCTCTCCGCTTCACTGTCCATGAAGGGCACCAGGAATAAGTTGACCTCGGAGTCCAGAAAGTCGGGCGGCAGCCCTGGGAAGATGTTGCACTGCAACATGGACAGCATCCCTGGGGAACGGACACTTCAGCCCACAGCCGGAGCTGCGCTCTGTGGTGGGGGACTGGTGGCCAGGAAGGCTCATCTGCTGGTCTGTGCCTGGGATGGCCCAAGGATCTAGGAGGCCACTGGCCAGCCTAGGAGGAACCTGGGATGCTCACCCTTGTAGCGCAGGTGGGAGTGTGCCATGAGCTGGTCAATCATCAGGTGCATCTGCCGTAACTTCCGGGGACAGAAGTCCTCCCTACGTGCCTTGTTCTGCAGGAAGACTGGGTGGGAGGGTGCAGCCGTGAGCAGACAGCGCTTGGCCTTGCCTGAGTTCCTTCCCTACCAGTTCAGGTCATTCAGTACTTGTGAGCAGGGTGGTGCTGGGGACCTGATTCCCACCATCAAGGATCCCTAACCTTGACAGGCAGACAAGGACAGCTGTGTGATCAGGAACGTGATAGGAACCTCAAATGACACAGTGAGACCTGAGCTTAGAAAGACCAGGGGCGAGTGTGTGCACATGTGTGTCTAGGAACACAATCCTTGCAGAAGAGCACCAGGGAGGACAGAACAGGCAGAGAAGGGGCAGGCACGGGTCCCCACATCAACCCAGAGCTCACTTCCCTCCCCCTGGGATGTCAAGGACACAGAAACAGCAGGCCACTCCTCTCCCATGTTGACTCGGAGCTAGACCCGGGCTCGGCCTCCAGGGTTGGACTCAGACGGTGGGGACCCAAGAAGGAGCCCCAGCTAATCCTTTGACTCCCCCAAGTCCTCTTGCCTACCCACCCCTCTGGCCCCAGAATAGCTCTCACCAAGGTGTGGGTAGTACTCAGTGCCCTCATCCGAGCCTGCGGAGCTGCTGGACTCGTGGCTGGGGGATGGCGTAGACGGCTTCACCATCTCTGCCGTTTGCAGGAACCTGCAGGTTTGGGGTAAGGGGCTGATTACCATGTATGTGCCCCCTCTTCCCACATCCTGGGGAGGATGCCCCGAGATTTTGATGAGAGTTACAGCCATGCTCCTCATGCAACTCTAGAGTTATGACACCAGCTCACGGGCACCTGGGTCAAGTGTGCAGTGTCTCTGAGTTTTCTCTATTATACACACACACACACACACACACACACACACACACACACACATATAAAGTTGAGTTTTATCAGCATGTGTCTGTAGTCCCTGTCACTCGGGGTTTGAGGCCAGCATGGGCTACACAGAAACAGAGCCCACCCACCCCCACCCCCAAACAAACAAAAAACCCACAACCCAACAAACCAAGAATAAAACCAACCAACACACCCCAAAACACTTTCTGAACCAGTTTTAGGTACACAGAAAGTAGGGTGCCCATGCTCCCCCATGCACAGACTCCTCATCAGTAACAACCCAGCAGAGCAGAGCATGTCTATCGCTGTGCACTCTGTGGTCAGTCAGGAGACATGCACTGGGCAAGACGTCCCCAGCACAGCGGGGTGCGGGAAGTCCCCTGCGCTGTGCTAGTCCACCCCGTCCTGTCCTGTCCTGTCCCCAGGCTTTCCCTCCTCCAGGCTGTCTCACGGCTGGAACCACACACTCTGCAGCCCTCCCGCACTGGCTTCTCAACAATAAGGCTCCTCCGTTCCTTTCATAACCTGACAGCTCGTTCATCTCTAGTGCTGAACAACACCCCACTGTCTGGATGGACCCCCTTCTTCATCCATTCACCTACTCAGAGGCATGCTGGCTGCTTCGGAGTGGCCACCGTGAACAGAAGTGCTATAAATACCTGTGCACAGGTCTTTATGGGGATGCATTTTCACTTTGTGCTGTTTTTCCAACACATTTTCCAAGTGTGTAACAGTAAATAAAACAAACCTGTTGTCTGATGGGGAAAGGAGACCTGTGAAATACATGGGCGTTCTCCTACATGTTTACCCATAGTTCCAAGGGCCACCTGCAGACCACAGCGTCACAAGGCTCGGCCGAGGGTCCCAGCAGAACACACCCCCCAAAAGAGCCACTTGTCCGGCATTCTTCACATCTGTGCACCCAGTGCCTGGCACAGGGCTCCTTAGTTTACATGTATGAATAAATCCTGATGCTCCATTATTATGTCACTCATACGTGGCCACAGCCTCCTGCTTCCTGGCGAGACTTCTCTATTGTTGGGAGACCCACCACTAGCCCTATCCCGCTACCGTGCCGTTCAGGGTACAGTACTATGTCAGTATTCCAGGTGCTGCGCCAGATGCTTTAGCTCCTTGACTTAGACTGCACAGAACGAGGAACTGAGGCAGGTGCACACTCAACACAGCTGGGATTCAAACTTTGGAGACACCTAATTTTGAGGACCCTAGTTCTTCCCTGCTCTGCCTGGGCCCCAAGTTGCTCAGGCAGGACTCTCATCCCCACGGCCCACCACCTTTTCCTGCTGCCCAAGGGACCAGACAGGCAGTGCACACACACACCTGCTAGAAAACAAAACTCCAAGGCCTGAACAAGCCCGCCCTGTGCACTCTGCACCCGCCGGTGTGCCTGCTCAGACTCTGTGTACTGCAGGAACCCGCACTGAGACAGCATCAGACCTGTGGAGTCCCTCCAGAGTGGCAGGCGCCATGGTGCGGGTTTGGGAAGGGGAGGGGAGCCCTGAGGCTGGCCTCACACCAGAACATCAGAGAAGATCTGCAGGCCAAATGCTTCCAGCCAGGGACAAGGGGCACGACGAGGAGCACCTTGGCACTGAGCAGCAGGAGGGATGGCCAGTCAGATGGCCAGCGTGTCTTCCTGATGGTGTGGGGCCCTAGGCCAGTCAGATGGCCAGGGTGTCTTCCTGATGGTGTGGGGCCCTAGGCCAGTCAGATGGCCAGGGTGTCTTCCTGATGGTGTGGGGCCCTAGGCCAGTCAGATGGCCAGGGTGTCTTCCTGATGGTGTGGGGCCCTAGGCCAGTCAGATGGCCAGGGTGTCTTCCTGATGGTGTGGGGCCCTAGGCCAGTCAGATGGCCAGGGTGTCTTCTTGATGGTGTGGGGCCCTAGGCCAGTCAGATGGCCAGGGTGTCTTCCTGATGGTGTGGGGCCCTAGACCAGTCAGATGGCCAGGGTGTCTTCCTGATGGTGTGGGGCCCTAGGCCAGTCAGATGGCCAGGGTGTCTTCCTGATGGTGTGGGCCCTAGGCCAGTCAAGATGGTCAGGGTGTCTTCCTGATGGTGTGGGGCCCTAGGCCAGTCAAGATGGCCAGGGTGTCTTCCTGATGGTATGGGGCCCTATCAGGCAGCACGAAAAGGGCTGTGCCCACTACCCTGAGTGAGGTGAGGTCTGTGGAGGGGTACATGCTTTGCAGGGCCTAGCCATCCTCTTTGCCCGCTGGCTAAAGACCACCCGGCTTGTTGACCACTGACTTCCCCCACAGGAGGAGGAGACGAAGCGGGCCGTGTGACCCTCCCCTGGTGTCCGGCCACTCCTCGGCCGTGTGACCCTCCCCTGGTGTCCAGCCACCCCTCCCAAGCAGTTTGCAGCTCTGCCCTAACCGCACCGTGTCGGGGAGAGGGCACAAGCATGCAGGCGGGAAGGACTAGGGAGGGCTCCACCTTCACAGCCACGGGGAGGCCGTCGTCCCTCCCCTGCGGACCTTCTACCCATGCTCCTGCTACACCCACTACCCTGGAAGCAGCCTAACAGCAGAATGAACCTGGTGAAGGTCTGTCCTGGGCCTTAGGAGGAGAGGGGACAGGCGCTGCCTAGACTCCACTGTGAGAAGTCAGCGGGGACTCGGGCCGAGGCTGCCGTCCTCCATGGCCGTGCAGCAACTCACCTGTACAGACTGAGGTCCGTGAACCAGTCCTGCACAACGATCACCACGTGGCAGACCGTGAAGAGGAAGGCAGCGATCTGCAGCGACTGTGGGGAGCAGGAGGGGCGGGGGAGGCGCTGCTCTTCTGCCCAGGACACAGCTCAAGGGGCAGGAGGGCGGGCTTCAGGACATTTAGCCACAGTGTGACTTGTCTCCTTACACGCCAACCCTAACTGTGGCCAGGGAGGGAGCAGCACTCCAGCTTACACAGAGGGACTCCAGATTGGGGGCAAGGGGTGGGAAGTGACCGCCTGAGGCCAGAGCTGCCCCCCTCCCCCAGCCCAGCCCCCAGCCCAGGCCCGGCAGGCCCACCTACCTGCATTTCCACATAGGTGTGAGGGAGGTTGTATTCTGGAGGCAATTTGCGGTCATTATTGATGAGGTGGTCCAAGATAGATGGGCTCAGGATGGGCTGCAAGAAGTGAACCCAGGAGGGTGAGGGCAGAGTTTCTGGGGGGCGTGTTCTGAGAGGGTGAAGCGAGGCCAGCAGGAAGGCAGGCCGAGTCTAACTGGTGCAGCGCTGGTCAGCAGGAGGAGGCTAACCACAAATCCCAAAGCAGGCCCAGCTCCACAGGCCCAGCTCCCCAGGCCCAGCTCCCCAGGCCCAGCTCCCCAGGCCTTGCTGAGCAGCCAAGCCTTGCTGTTCCCATGCGCCTGGTGCCCAAAGAGCTCCTGGTACTCCTCCTACATTTCACAGAGCTTAAGTGAGCCCTGTCCCTTAAAGACTCCTCTTTGTTGTTGGCTGTTTCACATGCTTCCAAGTGTTGCTGAAATAATTACTTCGGTCAAAAAAATGATTAGTGTGAAATTTGGTGCGGATTTACAAATCGCACCAGCGCACGGAAAAGAACCAATGGTTAGCACACGGAAGTTTTCTTAAAGTCACAGTCGACCGAACACCTCATGAAATCCCCCTGCCACTCAGCAGCGTGTGAACTGTTTTGGAAGGCGCTCTCAGCCCGGTCTTGTTTTGCTGAGTTTTCTTCTCTCCCTCTAGCTCCTGATCGGCCCGAAGCCAGGCCGACTTGTACTCAGGTCCCCGCAGACCCCGCACAAGGCCCGGCACCCAGGGCTCCAGGTTTTCCACTGTGTCATCAATGTCTGGAGAACAGAACCTCCCCAAGAGGGAATACCAACCCTGGGCCAGGCCCAGTGCCCGAAGGGCTCCAGACACATGGGGACTGGACACACACAGCAGTGGTTCCCACCACAGTGGAAGTGACGTGGACAGCAGTGGCACCAGGGGCTGGAAACTGGGAGTCTCTGGGAGGGAGGCACTGTCTGGGCAAACAGGTGAAAGCGTAGAGACTGTTCTAGAGACCCCAACGCTGAGAGCTGAGAGCATCCAGCTCAGGTCCATGTTGGTCCTACTGCAAAACTTTACTGTCCAACCCCCGGGAACCTCCCAAGCAGACAGGCAGTGTGACTGCCCTTTTCTGAAACAGGGGGGCAGAAATGGAAAAAGACCTGCAGAGGGCCCGAGGACAAGGAAGGCAGCCAGAAGGCCTAGGACACAGTGCCTGGTGCTAGGCTGCAGCACCTGGAGGAGGAGCTGAGGACCACTGACCGGGTGTCCACGGCAGGGCAATCCCACCGACAGTGACAAGCCTGAGCAAGAACCTGGCTGCAGGTGTTGGTCAGGCACTGCCTGGACCATTCCCCAGACCCCTCTGAGCTCCCAGGAGGCCGAGTAGAGCCTGCACCCCCACTGACAGGTGAAGGGCAGCCTTGGGGGCAGAGTTCAACTTCAAATCACACTGACGATAAGGTTGAAGTTCAGGATCTAGACGGACACAGACCCAGACCACTCCTGAAGGCACGGGGCTCAGAGATCCTCCAGGCCACAGTGCAGAGGTCAGTGGGAGAGGGCCACACTCTGATAGGAGGGTGCTAAGGGCCAGGGAGAGGGGCTGGGCTGGCACCTGCGTGTCCAGGAAGACAATCCGCTCCTGGGTGATGAAGAAGTCGATGCCGCTGGTCTGGTTGCCTCCTCGTTCCTTCATCTCAGCACTCTGCGCCCGGAAGACATAGGCCCTGTGAGGAGGAGGAACACATGGGTACGTGAGGTGTCTGGCTCTGCACCCCTCAGGCCAGAGAACAACCTGAGAAGTGGACACTGGAGCTGAGCTGCTCTGCCAGCCCCCGGGACTTCCATCTGTGGCCACGGCTGGGGTGACGACGTGATCCTCACCGCGCAGCTGCACTCCGACCTACAGGCACATTTGGTCCAGCTAAGGGAGTCGGCAGACTCGAGTGTTTACAGGCAGAGGCTGCAGATCTCAGCTCTGTCTTCCAGGGCCTTAAGCCCTCTTCCTCAGTTTCCTTGTCTGGAAAACGGAGGTGACAAGGGCAGGGAGTCACGGTGTCCATCTTCAATGTCAGCACCGGAAGGCCAAGGCAAGCAGGCTTCTGTGAGTTCTAGGCTAGCTGGGCTATACAGCGAGACTACGTCACAGGAAACTGTAAAAACAGCCAGGCACTGTGGACTATATTGCTAACCCCAGCACTCATGAGGCAAGGGCAGGTGGATCTCTATGAGGCCAGCCTGGTCTACACAGTGAGTTCCAGGCCAGTCAGGCTACACAGTGAGACCCTGTCTCATTTTTTTTTTTAAGAAGGGAACAATACTACTACCCAGCCAAGTATGTCAACTTTTGGTATTTGTGGCACAAATATTGCCATCTACAAAGTTCACACTCAGGAACTATGCAATTAGGCTGGAGACGGCTTGGTGGTTAGGAGTGTGCACCGTTCTTCTCGAGGACCTGGGTTTGATTCCCAGCACCCACGTGAGAGGACTCACAGGACAGAGCATCGGATGAGACAAAGCCACTGGCTCCCTAATCAAGGGTGCTCTGAAACCATGGGGATAACGGAGGAAGGTGACGGGATGGGGTGGTGATCTGCCCTGAGGAGAGAAAGGACTGTGTCCCAGGGAGCAGGTAAAGGGGGGGCAGGCAGGACACGAGGAGAGGAGAGGAGGGAGGGATGCAGAGAGACCAGGGCTGCATCAGACGGATGGGGCGGCACAAAGGTCAAGACAGGGAGAGAGGCGAGAACAGGCCAGGTTGAGGCAGGAGCATCAGCATGGAGAGACACGCAGACCAATCTTCAGGAGGCACGGGCAGGAGCTGGGGTCGGGGAGGAGGAGCCCAGTGTGCCCTGAAGCAGGAGTGGTGAACAGACTTGGGTTTGGAAAGTGCCCCTTGCTGCTGTGTGCAAGGACTGCAGAGAAAGGATGGGGGTGGTCCAGTGGGCAGAGCAGCGTGGGGCCTCCAGTGGCCTCTCAGACCTCACCTCCTAAAGGCCTCTGCCCACCTTTTCTCTGTAGTGTGACTGAGACCCATGGGACCTCACTTGGCAAGCTCTTCCCGAGCTACTGACCCTCTTCCGGTTGGCTCTGCTCCATGCTTACGGCTGTGTCTACATTCCCTCTCACTAGGACACACTCTGCACAGAGCCTGTCCTTCCTCCAGTGCTGGATTTAAAAACTGACCTGGCCTGTTGTCAAAACTGGTTTTGCTGTCCTTGAACAAGGGTGAGGATGACCTTGAACTTACTATGTAGCTGAGGATAACCTCAAATGCCTGATCCTCCTGCCTCCACCTCCTGAAAACTGGGACCACAGGCATGCACCACATGCCTGGCTGTCATCATCCTCCAACATGCCAAACGGCTCTAACATGCCAGATGGATTCTCTTTACACACTCCCCAGAAAACAAGCCCACATGGCAGGCTCTGACAGTCGTGCGTATCGTGGAACCCAGCACCAAGAACGGGCTGGCAACGCAAGAGCATTTGCTACACGTTTGCTGAACTGAGCGGAGGCACAGGCTGGCTGGGTAGGTCTTGGCATCTGCCAGGGGAGATAATGGCTGGGAGCAGGGGCTGGGCACGACGGAGGGGAGATGGGCTGTAAATGAGGTGAATTCTCTAGGAGCTGACGAAGAGAGCCAGAACCAAAGTCTCCCACCTGCCATGGGCAACACAGGTCTAAAATGCAAACTGAGCGATCGTGGTCTTCTCAGTTCAGGATTTGAACGGAGAGCCCAGGCGACTGTGCCTGCTGCTGAGAGGGACATGCGAAGAGGCCACCCAAGATGTGAAGCGGCATGGCACAGGACAGCTGTAGTTGCAAGTGAGCAGAGAGGCCGGGGGAATGCAGAGGCAGAGGGACCTTTTAGCTCCAGGCTCAGGCAACAGTGCTCCCTAAAACTCCTTTTCCGAGTTTCCACCAGGTCAAGACCTGGTGAGAACTATGGGCCCTTTCCCTGGAAGAAAAACCTGACACTGAGGCAGCGGGATTGTAGGACGGAGGCCAGCCTGGGCTACATAGAGAACCTGCCTTAGGAAACAAAACACAACCCCATCCCTAAACAAAACCCAACAACAGCAACAATAAAAGCTTGCTGCAGATGTGAGACTCAGCACATACCGAGAGCGCTCTCAGCTCCTAAATAAAGCCATCTGTGCGCTAAGGTACACTGTGCGAAAGCCCAGCCCCAGCTTCTGGGGACAACCTGGCTCTCTGTTCCTTACCGGGTCTGGTGCTGGGACCCTCACTGTGCTGGAGAGTCTTACGTCAACTTGACACAAAATGCAGTCATCTGAGAGGAGGGAGCCTCAACGAGAAAACGCCTCCATAAGATCGGGCTGTAGGCAAGTCTGTAGGACTTTTCTTAATTAGTGGTTCATGGATGAGGGCCCAGGCCATGATGACCCTGGGGTGGTGATCCTCGGTTCCATAAGAAAGCAGGCTGAGGAAGCCATGAGGAGCAAGCCAGTAAGCAGCATCCCTCCATGGCCTCTGCATCAGCTCCTGCCTCCAGGTTCCTGCCCTGTTTGAGTTCCTGTCCTGACTTCCTTCGATGATGAACAGCAATATGGAAATGTAAGCTTGCTTTTTTGTTCATGGTGTTTCATCACAGCAACAGTAACCCTAAGCTGGTACCAGGATAGTGGGGTATTGCTGTGATAGACCTGACCATGTTGTTTTGGGGAGGACTGTGGTGAAGTCTTCTGGGAAGTGTTTCCTGAGCGTCAGCACACACAAGCTGTGTTCCAGAGGCCGCCAAGGTTGCACCTCAAGTTGGCAGCCGAACTTGGCAGTGGAAGAGTCACCCAGGTGGTACTGGTCTTGAAGGCTTGAAGGGATCATGGAGAGCAGCTGAGGCTTGGCACTGGGAGAGGCCAGAGGCCAATGGTGAAGGTGCAGCCTCAGTGGCAGTTGAAGGCCCAGGGCTGAAGGGGTCACGCAAAGGTGAGGCTTGGCACCATGAAGAGAGCCCATGAGAGAGAGGGTATTGGTGAAAGTGCAGCTCAGCTGCAGCAGAGGACCCCAGTGTTTTCGAGGTGCCAGTGCCATGGTGTCTTAGTTACAGTTCTATCGCTGTGATGAAAACACCATGACCAAAGAGCAAGCTGGGGAGGGAAGGGATTATTTGGCTGACACTTCAGCATCTCTGTTCATCACCAAAGAAGTCAGGACAGGAACTCAAACAGGGCAGGAGCCTGGAGGCAGGAGCTGATGCAGAGGCCCTGGAGGGGAGCTGTTTACTGGCTTGCTACTCCTGGCTTTCTCAGCCTGCTTTCCTATAGAACCCAGGACCAGCAGCCCAGGGATGGCCCCACCCACAATGGGCGGGGCCCTCCCCCATTGATTGCTAAATGAGAAAATGCCTTACTGCTGGATCTCATGGAGGCATTTCCTGAACTGAGGCTCCTTCCTCTGATGACCCTAACTTGTGCCAAGTTGACACACCAAACCAGCCAGTAAACATGGGATAACCACTGAGAACAGCAGCTGTGGTAGAGAGGAGCCAGCCAGAAGCTAGAAGACAAGCTGTGTGCAACAGATAGCGGAGCTGGAAAAGTGACCGAGGAGGCCTTTGGAGAAGCCCAGAAGACAGGGAGTGAATCACAGACGTTAACATGGAGTTATTTATACTGTTGGTTTTGCTTGGATCTGATTTTGACTGTGCCCTGGTTCTTCCCTCTTGAAGTAAGAAAGTATTTAACTTAGATTTTTTTGTTTTTAAATGGGAGCCCACAGTTGAGAGATTTTGATATTTTTAAAAGAGATTTTTGATTTTTAAAGAGATGGATATTTGCCGGGCGGTGGTGGCGCACGCTTTTAATCCCAGCACTCGGCACTCGGGAGGCAGAGCCAGGTGGATCTCTGTGAGTTCAAGGCCAGCCTGGTCTACAGGGAAAGGCGCAAAGCTACACAGAGAAACCCTGTCTCAAAAAACCAAAAAGAAAGAAAGAAAAAAAATCCATCCATAAGATCAGACTTCACACAAACCTGTAGGACAGAGGTTCTCAGCCTTCCCAATGCTTCAGCCCTCTAATACAGTTCCTCATGTTGTGGCGACCCCCAGCCATAAATTATCTTAATTGATACTTCCTAACTGTAATTTTGCTACTGTTATGACTCTTAATGTAAATATCTGTGTTTTCCAATGGTCTTAGGTGACCTATGGAAGGGTCGTTCAACACCCACCCCCCAAAACGGTCATGATCCACAGCTGAGAACCACTGCTGTAGCGCATTATCTTAATTAGTGATCAGTGGGGGAGGGCTAAGACCATGGTGGGTGGTGCCACCCCTGGGCTGGTGGTCCTGGGTTCTATAAGAAAGCAGGCTGAGCAAGCCAGCAAGCAGCACCCCTCCACGGCCTCTGCATCAGCTCTTGCCTGCAGGTTTTGGCTCTGAGTTCCTGCCCTGACTTCCTTCAATGATGGGCTATGATGTAGAAGTGTAAGCCCGATAAGCCCTTTCCTCCCCAACTTGCTTTTGGTCATCACAGCAACAGTGACCCTAACCAAGGCACTGTCCATCCCTAGTTTGAGTGCTTTTTGGTCTTCTCAAGTCCCTCCAGTGCTGTCCCTACCTTCCCGTTCCTGCTCGGTCGTGTAGAGGGGGAGAGCACTGAGCTGATCAGCCTTAAGACAGAGGCTGGTTAGGGCCACAGTACGGTGTCCCAAGACACTGGCAGCCAGGTGTCCTCCGTTAAGAGACCCCTTGGGAGACAGGAGGGAGAACCTAGTGGCTCTGTGTGTGCCCACGTGCACACGAGGGAGGGAGGAGGGAAGGCATATGTAACCTATCATATGTGGAAGGTCATGCTCCACGTAGGGGGTGGGCTTGGTTAACCTGTGACCCACATATGTGACAGGATCACCTGCCCCCCTTGTATCTAGAGAGCTTATTTCTAGAAGGGCCAGGTTTCTCTGCCCCAGTGTCAGGATGCAGTTCTTAAGGTCCCCTTCCCAAATCCCTCTTTTTTTTTAAAGATTTATTTATTACGTGTACAGTGTTCTGCCTGCATGTATGCCTGCAGGCCAGAAGAGGGCACCAGATCTCATTACAGATGGTTGTGAGCCACCATGTGGGTGCTGGGAATTGAACTCAGGACCTCTGGAAGAGCAGTCAGTGTTCTTAACCGCTGAGCCATCTCTCCAGCCCCCCAAATCCCTCTTCTAACCCCATCATTTATCTTCATCTCACATCCCCTCACTGGAGACCCATGTGCGGGTCAGGGACCCCTCACGAGTGACCTGCCCCTGTGCAGAGGGGCTTCATGACACAGGAGGACCAGCACAGGATCCGCTCTCTCCCTGTCCTATCTCCCAGACCCCTGGAACCCTCAACTCTTGGGCTCTGGGCCAGCCTCATCCTTCAACAATCCACTTGAGGGGCTGGAGGGATGGCTCAGCAGTTGAGAACACCACTGCTCTTCCAGAGGACCCGGGTTTGATTTCAGCACCCACATGGAGGCTCGCAACTCTCTGTAACCACCATTCCAGGAGATCTGAAGCCTTTCCCGGCCTCCGGTGGGCACCAAGCATGCAAGCAGCACCCAGACATATATGCAGGCACAATACTCAAATGCATAACAATAAAACTGTTAAAAATCTACCTGAATAAGAGCTGACTTGTCCGAGGCCAAGCAGCTGAGAACAGGCACGAAGCCTGAGGCAGCCGCCACCTTTCAAAAGCCTTAGTGCCTGCCTCATTCCACAGCTAGCCCACACTCATCCTCACCGTGAGGATGAAGCCACTTTGAAGCCTTTCATTACAACCCCCAACCCCTCCTCCCCAAGGGTGGCCACCCTCCCCTGGCCTCCTCCAGCCCTGCCCAGTGCCCCTCACCTCTGGTCTTCCTCTGGAGTGTTTGCCGACAACAGTGACATGACCATGGACTTTCCTGTCCCCTGGAGGCCCAGGACACCGACCACTAGCACGTCAGTCTGATCCAGCAGGTACTGGGGGACAGTGGGGAACATGAGCCTCACAGCCTGGCAGAGCCTGGCAGGGGCAGCCAGGCTCCTTCATGGGCTGACCCCCCCACCCCGACCTGGGATCTGAGAACCTCCACAGTCCCTCCCCTTCATCTGGGCAAAGGGCCTCTGTTCTGTGCTGTGGCAGGGTTATGTGTAAGACTCCAGAACCACAGAACAATCTGAGAAAGCTGAGGGAGAAAAGAGCCTACTGTGGCTGAGAATACACCATACGTAGGGCCACATCAACCTACTGGGAGGCTAAGCAGTGTTGGGCCTGGTTAGCACTAGACAGAATAAACCAGGAGTGGGAGGGGCTGAGACCCAGCAGGGAAAGGCCAGTGTACTTCAGGGGAGGGGAGAGGCAGGAAGACAGGACCACCTAAGTCAGGCCCCTGCTCTAGGAGGTCTCGGTAGATAGAGTGTGTGCCTACATCAGAGCAAGGGGCTGGCTGTAAACACCTGAGACCTTTGCCTCCAGGCCACCAGCTTTGCTGATCTTTACCACCAGGGGGCGAAAGAACCTCTCCCAAAGGCTAACCGTTCTGCTGGCAGTTCCCCAGAATCACCAGAGGGACTTAGAGAAACATACTCTGTATCCTGCCCGACCAGAGTTTAATGAGTCTCTCTGCACCTTAAAGCCAAACTACCCAGGACTGGGTGTTCACTGTGACAGCTGACCACATGTGGCTATTTTAATTCATTAAAATGAAACAAAATTGACAATTTTGTCTTCAGCCATAAGGGTCACAATGTCAGTCCTGCACAGAGATGGAGGCTGCCATACTGCGTGCGTAGTTTAAAAGGAAGGGCCACGGTGAAGCAAGCAGGCGGGCCAGGTTAATACACAGCCCTGGCATGCTGCTCTGACAGGATCAGGCTGCGGGGTGGGAGGGGCAGCCCTCGACAGGCCCCTGAACAGTAGGGAAAGCACTGGGGCAGAGGCCCAGGCCTGTGGGCCCAGCAACATGAGGCCCGAGCCAGAGCAGGGGCTGCTGGGAAGGAGCCTCTGGCTAGCACCGTGAAGACAGCGTGGGGCTGGACCTAGGAGGAGTGTGGGAGCAGGATCAGGCCCTTCCTCTGCTGGGCAATGGCACAGGGGTTCTGGTATTAGGTAGCAGGGATGTCTAGCAAGAGACTCAGAGCATGTTAGGTTTCAACCTGCCCTGGTGTCACAGGCCTGCCATCGGGCTGCTCAGGAGGCTGAGGCAGTTCAAGAGTAGCCTGGACAACTTAGTGAGACCCTGCTTCCAGACCAAAAAGTTAGAAACAGGCTGGGGCTGTAGCTCAGGGACAGAGAGCTTGCTTGGCGTGCAGGGCCGTAGTCCAATTCCCACTGCCCCTCCCCAAACATCAGCAAACCAAGTCTTTCAACTAAAGCCTCCCAAGTTGGATGAAACTCAGGCCTGACTGACGGGAACACCTCACAGGTCCCAGGGCTGTTCTGGAGGGGTATGGACAGAGCGTGGGAGCTAGGGAGGCTGTACCTCAATGGCACTGTCACACCAGTTCATCTGGTCGTCTACCAGCTTGATGCTGTGCTTCATGCGCTCCGGGGGCAGGAGCTTGGCCTGGCCCACCACAGCTGGATGGAAAGAGGAGACAGGACGGTGAGGGTCTGAGTGGGCCAGGAGCGAGTCCCTGCCCAGTCTTTGGGGTCCACTTACGGTCCATGGCTGTTGGGGCAGCAGTGCCCATGCCCCGGTTCTGAATCTGGTACACAGGCTGTGTGGGTCTCTGCCCCTCCTTCTCTCCTTTGGGTGGCGCAGGGGCTGTGGGGGGCGGTGGGGCAGTACCCTCAGGGGTGGCAGCCCCCGTTCCAGCCACAGGCCCCTTCCCCTCCTCACGTGGCTTCATGAGCACAATGGGTTTCTCCAGCGGGGCTGGGGCTGGCGGGGCAGCAGGGGCTGTGGTTGGTGGCGGCTGCTTTGACTGTGGAGTGAGAAGGTTGCAGGCCACTGGGAAGAGCTCCCCTCACCCCCTCTTCCCACCTCCCTCCTGAGGTCCTTGATGCTCACCCGCTCAGCTGGGGGCTTTGAGAGAATGATAGGGGTTTTCTGCATGACGTTAGTGCTGGGGTCTTCGCTGCCATCCTGAGGAGAGGGAACGCAGCTGCTACTCCAGACAGTCTCCATGATGCCTCCCCACCCCACCCAGGTGCTGGCACTACTCCCATCTGACTGGGAACCCATGCAGAACGTGGTTGAGCAAGGGAGCCAGCTTGCTCCCTTGCTCGGAACCTGGACACAGGGCTCCAGAGTGACATCCTCACCACTCCCAACAGCTTCCTCTGCTGGACCAGCCCCATGGGAAGGAGTGAGGGCCTGGAGCTTTGCAGCTGGGGTGGGTGGGAACCCAAGTAAGAGCCACACCCACACCCACTCCCACTTGGTCAACTGTGGGAGTGGGGCAGGAGTGCCACCCTCACAGGACTAGTATAGGACAGAGGGAGAGAGCCTGTGTGTCACCCGGTGGGACACCTGACACATGGCAGGTGCCTGCTCTGTGAGAGCCACTGGGATCCTGACCACCCTGACTGCCAAGCCCTTGGCCCTGCCCCTGCTCCCATGGGCGAACAGACTCCTTCCTATGCCCCCCACCCTCTTCTGCCTCCCAACCACCGCCAGTCCAGAGGAGCAAGGTCCCCACTTCAGGCCTGCTCCTGCCAGTGGACCCTCACTGGGCCTGTTTCTCCTTAAGCCCTACTCGTTACACTGGCTCACAGGCTCCCTGGAACCCCAAGATGATCCAGAGTGCTTTGGCAAGGACAGCTCTGAGAGAACAGCATGGGGGCCGAGGGTCGGGGTGACAGACAGCTGTGCTCACGAGGCAGGGGTGTCTAACAGGAGATGGGGTGAGGGTGGGAGTGACAGAGAACTGTGCTCACGAGGCAGGGGTGTCTAACGAGGACGGGGTGGGGAGGAGGCTCCAGAACAAGCCCATTGGGAGAACACAGGAGCAGGACAGCAGGAAGAGGCTGTGGTCAGATGGGTAAGGCGGGACGTACAAGGGCTCAGGGAGCGGCCCCACCTGAGACATAGGTTAAGACCTGCAGCAAGGGCCTACTGCTGACACGCTGTGGGAAAACCTGGACGTTCCCCCATGGACCGTGCATGATGCAGAGTCCACGGGGTCTCGGGGCGCTGTGAGGGTTCGCGAAGCCTCCCAGAGACAGTGCACTCTGCAAAGCAGGGGCACACATGCGGCTAGGTGCTGCTGGTGGCATGCGACTCTAAACAGGCGCTGGTGCCAGCCCTGGTTCAATCCTCCAGTGCAGTTCCTCTCTGTGAAAGCCCATCACGCCTGTGGCACCTGAGCCCGCCTCCCCTCGGTTCCCCTTCCTGCTGCAGCCCCACCGGCCCACCACACAGGCTACCTCAAGACCTCTGCACACGCCCTTCTGTCTGCAAAGCTCTGCATCTAGAATGGCCTGTCCCTTCACCTCCTTCAGCCCCCAACTCCAAAGGACCTGAGTTCAGTTCCCAGTACCCATATCAGGTGACTCCCAATTCCAGCTCCTGAGGAGTCGGATGCCTCCAAGGGTACCTGCATTCATGTGAACATCCCCTTTCCACATAACTAAAAGTAATAAAACAAACCTTAAAAATCAAAAACAAAAACTAAAACCACAGAGTCATCTCTTCCCAGGTCTTCTTTGGCCATGTCATCAAAAACAGTCCCTTAAGGGCTGGAGAGATGGCTCAGTGGTTAAGAGCACTGACTGCTCTTCCAGAGGTCCTGAGTTCAACTCCCAGCACCCACATGGTGGCTCTCAACCATCTCTGGTGCTTATAATAAATAGCTAAATCTTTAAAAAAACAAAAAACAAACAGTCCCTTTATTATCCTGCCTCCTTGCTCCGAGGGCAGCTGTGGACACGGATATGTCCACTGCCCTTGTACTGAGCCTGGTTCGTGGCAGCGGTCCAACCAAACCGGTCACTGGATTCCTGCATGCCATCTGTGGGCTCACTCACCCGTCTCTCTCTTTCCCAGGGTGCAATGTAGTCTCTCTCCCGACCTCCAGGCCCAGAGAGATTCTGGGGGCCGCTGGAGCCCGGCTCCTTCCACCTCCGCCGCCGCTCTATGCCATAGAGCCCAGGCTGGCTGTGTCCGGACTCTGACATGGTCACCTGGAGGGAACAGGAGGGTTTAGCGCAGGAGTCCTCCCTCTCCGTGGGGGACAGGGCCTGCATGAAGGCTCTTCTTTATAAAAGGAAGCTCTGCGACCTGCGAGATGGCTCAGTGGGTAAAGGTGCTTGCCACCAAGACTGATGACCTGAGTTCGATCCCTGGGACCCACATGGTCCACACACAAAGCTACCAATGCTTCTGGCCTCCACAGACACCTGCACTTATTACACCCACCCACCACTCTTAAAAATATCCTAACAAAACACAACAAAACCCAAACCCATAAACCAACCAGAAGCTGGAGGGATGGCTCAGCAGCGCACACTGCTCTTGCAGAAGACCCAAGACCTATTCCCAGAACCCACATCAGACAGCTCACAATCACCTCAAACTCCAGCTCCAGGGCTCACCGCCCTCGTCTGTCTTCCTTGGGTACTACACGCATGTGCACATAACCACACACATATATGCACACAAAACAACCCAAGGGAGCTCTGTGGCTGAGGCAGCAGCGGGCCACCAGTGGCCTGTATCTGTCCTGACTTCTTCTGTTTGGTGAGGTTAACACATAGCTATCCAGAACATAATTCTCCTTAGCTTTTTTTAAAATTAGGTGTGGCAAATGGTGTGGTAACATAGTGTGGTTTGGGAGTGTTCAGAAGCTTCCTTTTACAGAAACAGGTACATGCCTTTTGCCTCTTCCTACTCTTGGCTAAAAGAAATGTGAGTGTGGAGACTGGAGCTCAGGCAGCTTAAGGGCAAACACGGAAAAACAAGGCACAAGTGTTGGCAATCCCATAGAAACCTTACATTGTCTACCCCTGAAGGCAGTGAGAAACAAATCTATTGGCAACTACTGAAATGTTCCAATACAAACCCAACTACAGGAGCAGAGTCACAGAAAAATTGGAGACTCCCCTTCTCGAAACGCAACGTCATTTTCTCACAAATCAGTGACGGAATCCCGAGTTGAAGGACTCCTGATCAGCCATATGTGTGTGGACGGTGACAGGGGTGGGGCTGGCTCCAACAGGTCCCACTAGGCTCCTGTCTACTTACCTTCTGCTCCCGCTGGTCAGCCCTCCCCGACTTTGAACTTCAGCCTCCTCAGCGTCTAATCCTCAAGATGTTCTGAAATGTAAGGCCATGCGACCGTTCTTCACCACTAGTGTTATCTGTTCCCAAGCCTCTGGGGAAAGTTCCTTGGGGTCTTTACAATGGACTCTGCTGCCCCGAGACCATACGGAACAGCCTGCTCTAGCTCAAGGTCAGGCTGGCAAACTGTGGCCTGCAGACTAAATCTGCACTGTCTTTCCTCTTCCCAAACAAGATCTCACTGGAACCTGGCCCCAACCAATTTACAGAGTGGCTATGGCTGCTTTCTACAAATGGGAGAAGTAGTAGAGGTGGGGTCAGTGTGGCCCCTAGAACCTGCAAACACAGCATCTGGCCCTTACACTGTGTTCCTCCAAACCCTCCCCATCGCCCCCTCAGGCCTCAATGACACCCACAGCTTGCTGTGAAACACTTTAGAGCTGAGGGGCAACCCTGCCAGCCATGCAGGGGCTTGTCGAGCCCCTCTTAGGACCTAGTGACCTCTCCCTAGCCACAAACCGGACTGACCGAGGAGGGGAAGGGCCTGACAACAGATGCTTACGGGCATGACTCAGGGCTTAAATGACTGTTTACAGTCTCAGGACCTCTCCCCACAGCCTGGGACTCCTTCCTCCCCTGCAATTAACTGTCTGTCCCCCTATTATCCTGAAAACCTCCCCAGTACTTGTCTGGCTCCCTGGCCCCACAGGGACCCTGTCCTCACACTAAAGTGGCTGTTTACTGTGACTACCCCCTTTTCAGGCAAGTAAGCGTCCATTTGCGCAGTGTTCTGGAATCAGTATTTGAGCCTACTTAAGAGCTCTTGTGGGGAGCAATCCAGAACCCGAGAGGCCATCTACCTGCGACCTGGGACTTCTAATGCTGCTTCCGGAGTTCTCTGGGAGCGCTCTCCACAAACTAAGCTAGTGTAATTGTCTATTTACAGGGCTTGTACAGTGACCTCACAGAAATGCAGTCTGCACATTCTTGGGGTGGGGGCTTCCTGAGTTTCTTCTGCATGCCTGTGTGTAAGTGTACATGTGGAGGCCAGGTGTTGATCTCAGGTGAAGTTTCTTAGGGGCCACCCACTTCCTTTCAAACTGTGTGTGTGCACGTGCGTGCGTGGGCGCACACTCACACCACAAACCCCCGCACAGAGCCATTATCACTCAGGTGGAGGTCAGGCGACAACTTCTGAGTGACCATTTTCTCTTTCCACCACATAGGTCCCAGAGATGGAAATCAGTTCTTTGGCCCTGGTGGCACCTTTACCTGAGGAGCCTTCTTACCAGCCCCACTTTTTTTTTTTTTTCTTTAAGACAGGGCATCTCATGGAAACCGGAGCTTTTCAATTAAGCTATACTGGCTGGCCAAGAACTCCGCACAGCTGCCCAGCTGTGCCTCCCCAGCACTGAGATTACAAATGCAGGCCATCCCACCCCACCATTTCATGTGGTTGCTGGGGCTCAAACTCAGGTCCTCATACTTGCAAACAGGCGCTTCAGAGACTGAGCCATTCCCCCACCCCTCGACCACCTGCAGCTCTCCAGCATCTCTTCTGGAGAATCTTCCAGAATTGACAAGTTGCTTTGCAAATTTTTTTTCCTGGAGATCACCCAATTCCTAACTGTTCTAATGCCTTTTCCCTTGAGGCATGACACACTCCGGAACTTAATAGTCTACAGTTTCCCTCCTCCTCTCCTCTCCCTCTCAAACAGGGACCTGTTCTGTGTAGCTCAGGCTAGCCTCAAACGCAATCCTCCTGCCTTTGGCTCCACCTGCTGGGATTACAGTGTGAGCCGCCATGCCCAGCCCTACTCACCCATTTTTTCCAAGTGCTCCCTGGTACTTAAAATTATTTTTATTTGCAACCTTATATGGGGCCTCCTTCCCATACTCAGCCATAAAAGAACCCCCAAACCCAATTTCCGCGTATACATTCCTTGGCAACCCTAGTATGTCGGGCTTCTAGGGGAGTATTTCCAGGAATTTCCTCCTGATGTTCTGAGGAGGGCCGTACTACAGGGACACTTTACAGGAGTTACAGTTTCTCTTAATTTATTTGTACCTCCAGCTAACGGTGCCACTAATCCGAGACCTTCAGGCTCCTACTCACATTGGCCAGCTGCCCAGCACCTTTTAACGGCAGAGCGCGGGGCGGGGCGGGGCTTGAGCACGCCCCACCCCCTCAAGCCCCGCCCCGCCGGCGCGCATGCTTCTCGCAGGCTCCCGGGGGGGGGGGGGGGGACCCCTTACCTAAGGCGGCTGCTGATTGGTTCCTGGGGCGCGGCGCGCGCTCTGAGTGACAGAAGTGCAGCGTGGGCGGGGGAAGGTCCTCCACAGCCACCTGCCGAGTAAATGGCGCCGGAAGGCCACGAGCGTGAGAGAGAGGCCGAGAAAGCGGGTGCCAGCTATTCCGGAACAGGCCTCGGCGTCCCGGAAGCGCCCAGAGGAGGAGGAAGAAGAAGCGGATAGGGCGCAGTCGGACAAGTCAGGCCCCGCGCTGCTGGCTCTGCGCATGCGCTGCGGGCTGGGCGCGCGCGCCTAGGCTGAGCATGCGTGAATGGAGGTTCCTGGTTTCAGCACGCATGCGGGTTACGGAGGGGGCGGGAGCTCGTTGCGTCTGACAAGGCGCGTGCGCGTCGTTCTCCTGGGCGGGCCGGGGGTTTGGCTAGGCGGGCCGCTCCAGAGATTTCGAGTTCGAATCCCGGGTTTTCAGTAGTGTTGGCAGGACGGGGTAGGATGCGGCGGAAGGGAGGAAGTCCAGTGTTCTGAGCTAAGCGAGTGCTGCGAATACAAGATTGGCTCAGAGCTGGCTGCGAAGCGCGATCTTGAAGGACTTTTAGGCCCAGCTCAGCAAAGGCAGCGAGAACACCTAGACCATTGGTTCTCAACCTTCCTAATGCAGCGACCCTTTAATACAGTTCCTCAGACGGGTGGTGATGGCGCACGCCTTTAATCCCAGCACTCGGGAGGCAGAGGCAGGCGGATCTCTGTGAGTTCGAGGCCAGCCTGGTCTACAGAGTGAGTTCCAGGACAGCTGGGGCTACACAGAGAAACCCTGCCCTGCACCCCACCTCCCCACAAAAATACAGTTCTTCAGGGTGTGGTGACCACCAGCCATAGAAATATTTCCTTACTACTTCCTAGTTGTGATTTTGCTATTATGAATGGTAATGTCAATTTCCGACGTGTTTTCCGACGGTCTTAGGCGACTCTGTGAAAGAGTCGTTCAAGGCCTTCCTTCCCCAAGGGTTCACGACCTGCAGGTTGAGAAATGGCTGACCTAGGGAAAGGTTTAGACTTGGATCTGTGGTGAGAGATGGGTCTGACCATCAAGTCTCGGGGATACGGGGCCTGGTGGAGGACAGAACTATCATATAGATTTCTGGGGGCTGCAAGGAGCAGGGGTCAACATTGGAAAGGCTTCGGGGGCAGCCTGAAGCAGCAGGAAGGCCAGGGCAGCGGGTGCAGTCCCAGCGACTCAGTCAGCCATCAGGAGTCTGTGGTTGCCCGTTGAAGACACTGGTGAGTGGCGGAGTTACGCATCCACCATTTCTTTTCCTTTTCAAAGGTCTCAGTGTTGTTAGCCGGCTGTCCCTGTCTCCTTAGCATGTCCTGCCCGCGTGTGCCGTCACAACCAGCTCGCTCTCTTGTTTCGTTTTGAGACAGGGTCTCATTGTGTAACCCTGGCTGGCCTGGAACTCATGGAGACCCACCTACCTCTGCCTCTCCTTTGTTTCCTCTCTCTCTCTCTCTCTCTCTCTCTCTCTCTCTCTCTCTCTCTCCTTTGTACTAAGTAAAGAGAGAGGGCCCTGCTATATGGCATGTGCTCTACCACTGCTCTGCATTTCAAGACACACTTGCATGCTCACACACACACACACACACACACACACACACACACACACGCTTGTCCCCAGTATGGCTGATCTCCATGATCGCCTTCACTCATACAGCACCCCCCGCCCCAACCCCCAGCTCTTCTCGTCTCCATTCCCCTATGGGCAGCTGCCAGGACTAAAGTCTGCCTTCCCTTTGAGTTTCCTTTCAGATTTCAATACAGTCGCTCTCCGGAGCGCTGAGATACAGGCGTGCCCCACGATGCCTGGTTTATGTGGCGCTGGGGACTGAACCTAGAGCTTCATGCCTGCTAGACAAGCACTCTGCCGCCTGGGCCACATCCCCAGCCTCTGGAGGATTTTTGTAATTAAAGCTTGAAGACAGAACACACGAGTTTTTCCATATTGGCTGAAGGTGACCTGCAGGGCAGTGATTGGTTGGAGGGCTGTTTATAAAGCGTGCCCAATGCTTCTGGATTCACTGGAGTTGGAAGCAGGGTGCCGCGGCCTCTAGGGGGTCAGGATGAGGTTTGAATTAAAGGTTCGTCTATTCTGTAACATTTATTGTATGTGCGTGGTGTGCGCACACACAGCACAGTCGTGCGTGGTGGAGGTCAGAGGGTGATTTGCAGGAGTCAGTACTCTCCTTCCATCACGTGGGTCCCACAGATCGAACCAAGGACTCTTACCCAGCAGGCCATCTCACGCCACAAAGTGGGCACTGTGTACCAGGCTTTGCTTCCCTCTGACTTCTGTCCGTACGGTCCCCTCCCTCATTTAACAGGTGCAGGAAAATGAAGGAGACATGGAGGCCCAGTGGTTAGGGAACATCAGAGCCTGGCTTCCAAGCCGAGGTTGGTTCACCCAGGGAGAGCCTGACACTTGCCTGTGAGAGTTGGCAGCACAGTCAGCCACCCCAGAGCTCCGTCAAGTCAGCAGCGCAGGCTGTTACAGTTTTCTGTTGATGTGTACACACGCATTCTGAATGTTCCTTCTAAACATGTATTCCTGTGTATACTTGGCTGCATGTATATGACAGTATTATCTTTTTAATTAAAATCATTTTGTGTGTATGGGTGTTTTGCCTGCGGTGTGTGTGTGTGTGTGTGTGTGTGTGTGTGTGTGTGTGTGTGTAAGTGCACCGTGTGTGTGCCTGGTTCCTGCGGAGGTCAGGAGAGGGCATTGGATCCACTGGGACTGGACTTACAGCCTTCATGGTGGGGTGGACATCAACAGATCCCGGGTGCTGCCGACTGAGCTCCGGTTTCAGTGAGGGACCCTGTCTCTCGGCAGTGAGGTAGAGAACAATGGAAGACATTCGAGGACCTCCTGTGGCCTCCATGGGTGTGTGCACAGGTATGTGGAGCCATAGTCACGTGCATGCACACCCCTTACACACACAGGCCCATTGTATGTCTCACATTGTGAGTACAGTTATGAACAGTAAAGCCTACATTTGAAATTGCTAAGAAAACAGGCTTATGTATTCTCACCAAATAATAACATAAGTATATGAGGTCAGGCAAATGTTAATTAGTTAACAGCCCTTCGGTCTCTAGACCCAGGGCCAGGCCCTGCTGCTGAAGAAGGAAATATTCAGGAGATAAGAGAGAGGAGGGAGTCAAGTTTATTCAAGGTCTTGCATTTGGAGGGAGTCCTGACCCCAGACTCCTGACTTGGGGAACTCTGGGACACAAGGGGACTTTTTTTTTTTTTTTTTTTGAGAAAGGTCACACTGTGTAGCCCTAACTGGTCTGGAACTCCCTATATAAACCAGGCTAGCCTCCAGCTCACAGAGATTCGCCTGCCTGCGCCTCTGGGGTGCTGGGATTAAAGGCGTATACTACCACACCCACCCTTTTCTGAAGGGGATGGAGGTGCAGGGAGACGGGCAGGAAGGCTGCGCGCAGGGCTGGGTTTCCATCCCCAGAATGTCTCCCTTCTCCTTGTGGACGTGGACCGCCGAGGGTCACTTCCTCTCCTCTCTTTTCAAAAGCTGAACTGCTCAGCAGTTTGCATGTTTTGTGTTAGTGCATGGAGAAAAGCTGAAGCGTGCTCTGGTGTCATCTGAAGGTCAGCAGGTTTCTCTGAGCTCGAAACCCGAGGAAGGACTATTTAGGGGCTAACATCTTAGCCATTTATGTGCGGCTTTTTAGAATTTAAAGTGCTGGACCGAAACAAAGGAATATAATCCTTGCAAAAGGCCTAGTGAGGGACACAAGTTTGTACGGAGTCTTGTGTAGCCCAGGCCTTGAACTCTGTGTGTAGCCAAGGATGACCATAAACCAACACCACCACCACCCCCATCCTCCCGCCTCCACCTCCCATGTCTGGCCAGGAGGCAGCTCTCGAAGGATCAGGGGAGGAGACTGAATCTTTGCAACAGGACGATCACAGCACTTCACAGATGAGTGTGCTGTGGTTCTGGCCTCCATACATTTATCCCAAAACACTGTGTGGGGGCTGGCGACATAGTCCGGTGGCAGAGGTTCTTGCTGCTAGGCCTGATGACCTGAGTTCGATCCTCGGGACCCACATGGTAGAAAGAGAGAAGGAAGTTCCAAAAGTTGTCCTCTGCCTTCCATGTGTGTGCATGCCACACACTTGTGCACATGCATGTGAATCAACACACATTAGATAGACAAATGTGATAAAATTCATTGCCCGTCATACACATTCAATTTTTATTTATTTTACAAAAGAAAATATAGCCGGGCGGTGGTGGCGCACGCCTTTAATCCCAGCACTCAGGAGGCAGAGACAGGTGGATCTCTGTGAGTTCGAGGCCAGCCTGGGCTACAGAGTGAGTTCCAGGAAAGGCGCAAAGCTACACAGAGAAACCCTGTCTCGAAAAACCAAAAAAAAAAAAAAAAAAAAAAAAAAGAAAATATAACTCAAAAAGACAGGGGGATCAAGAGTTTTAAAAGTCAGAGAGTGTCAGAGCCCCAGAAAGCTACTGTGGGGTGATGCCTGAACAGAGGCATTAAAGGGTAAGGTAATGAGCTGTCAGGAAGGTTCAGAAGCACCCTAAGAGGTGGGAGTGCCCGGGACAGGAAGAAACAAACTCAATCCCCCCCCTCCCCCCATCTCTCTCTACTGCATCTGACAGCAGGTGTGGACGAGGGGGTTCCCAGCATGCAAAGCAGCAGGAGCTGAGTGTCCTCTAGCTAAGGTTCACACAAGGTCGTCTGCTGGCAGCAGCACCCCACAGATGGGGCTCTGTCCCCCACGCACCAGTCACAAGCCTCAGGTGTCCTATTCCCACAGAAGTCAGGGAACCCAGGTGCTAGTTTCTCATGAAGGATGGAGTGTGACATAGAGCCAGGCATGAGAGGAGGGTCTCCAGGGGCGTGGCCAGTTATCCTGAAGTTCTCAGCTTGTCGTTTTGTTTTGTTTTTCTCTTTGGTTTTGTTGGCTTTCTGAGACAGATCCTCCCTATGTAACCCAGACCGGCTTCACACTCAGGCCAGTCCCCCTGCCTCAGCCTCCTGAGTGCAGGGATTTCAGGTGTGCACCATCTGCCTTTAAATTTATTTTCATTGCATTTATTTATTTATTGTATATGTGTGGCAGTCAGAGGACAACATTCTCGTTCTCCTCTTCCAACATGTGGGTCCCTGGGGATTGAACTCGGGCCCTCAGCCTTGGCAGCAAGGGCCTTTACCTGCTGAGCCATCCTGCCAGCCTCTCCCTTTGGGG